AACCTGAACAACAACCCTACCTCGATGCAGCTTGATCGGGCAAGAGAAATCGGACTCCAAAGGCTCTTCGTCTCCTGATGCCAGTTTCAGGGCAAGTTCCAGCTCAACACATTCAAACACGTACAGGGAAGGAATAAGATCGGATCTTGGGTCCCATGACTTTTCTGACTGTAAAAAGCATCGAATTCTTCTGTGAGACATCATTTAAATAGAAATGCCGACAGAAACAGCATCCGTAAGGAGTTACATAATTTAGGCAAGGGTATTAATTGTCAGGGAAAGTAGATCACTTAAAACTAATCTCAGAAACAGAGTTTCCTCTTAGAAGATTCTCTTTAGTTTGTAGTTTGTTTGATCAAAAACTGATCTACCGTCACGATACACAGAACTGAAGTTCCAAATAAAAGCATCAAAGAATCACAGGGGCTGGCGGGAACAGGACGAAGACTCATTATAAAACACGGCAGCTTTGGCACTTGTCGTTTGCTTCCAGGCTTCCTGCCGTTCTGCAGCCAGGAACCAGGACTAAAGAAACGAAAATGGGAAAAAAACCCAAACAACTCAAAACCCCAAGACAGGGTACCTGCTCGTCATCCTCTTCCGCATCCAGTACCACGCAGTGATACAGCATTCCCGACTCGGTGGCAATCACCAGGATGTTGGGGACACAAGGCAGGCACAGGACCGCGCAGGCGTCGTAGCCGTAGTTGTCTTCCGCGGCGGGGTGCATGGGCAGAGGGCCCAGCAACTTGTCAAGGTTTCTAGGACTGGAATAAAGAAGATGCGTTCACAACACAAGGTGTGGAAGAAGAGTTCCCCGGGGCCACCTGTCAGAGTTTCTCAGCCTATGGGAGTTTGCTGCACTGACTACAGAACAATGAAGATTAAAAAAAACCCCAACACACCACACCACAAGCAAACAACCCAACGGTTTGGAGATCTGTCTGGTTTCCGTTAGACACAGGCTTGTGCAGGTGAAGTCTGACCTACACCCACTTGGTGGAGATCTCTGGGAAGGCACTGGAGCTCAGTAAATAATATTTTCATGCTTTAAAACCAACCAGGCTATGTCGCAAAAAATTCAAGAGGAAAGATTTTGATACAACACAGAAAGTTCAAATTAATTCTCTTTGTCACTTAACTGATCTCTTGCTTAATAAAGCACTGTGCAAGCAGCGTTTTGTGGTGTGGTGTTTCTTGGTGTAGAACTTTCGAAGGACTAAGCCCCATTTCACTGCCTACAGACAGGATCTTCTCAGCGTTGCCTCGTTTCTCACACAAACAGCACTGCTTCTACCCTAAATACCAGACACTTTAATGTTTGCTTACATGAGATCTAACTCGTAAGGTTTCCAACATCTTCTCAGTTTTCTGAAGTAATTTTTTCTTGTGTTTGTTTATATTCTTGATTTATCTTCCTGACTTTTAATTATGCAACATGCCAGTGAACCATCTATAATCTTAAAATGTTTCTTTTCCTAAGAAGCCACTGGCTAATTCAGCCTCATCCAAAGCCAAGGATGTCTGTGCTGTGAACTGAGGGCTCCAAAATACACCTTAACCACCTCAGCCCCGCTGATTTTTTAACATTCCAGTAGCTTCATTTCAGATTTCTGATGGTAAATAACAGACAGTGGGTTCTCAGCAGTGGAAGTGGCACGTGTAACGTCTGGATGAAAAAGGGTGACACGCTATTCCTGAATTTCAGGCTGCCAACACTGCCACAAAAAGGCAAAACAGTCTCTGATACCCTAAAACTTAGCCCCAGTCAAACGGAGGAATGGCTCTGCCAACCCCAACACTGCACAAACAGACAAGCACCCCGTGAAACATGAGGATAAAAGAGATCCTACCTCTGCGGCAGGCTGACGTAGGTGAGGAACGTCTCTCCATTTTCATACAAAATGTACAGGGGATAGGCCAACACTTCTTCACCCCCCTGCTGCCCAAGTATGTTCTTTGAGACCGGCACCAGGAGGCCGAAGTCGAAGGCCACGGCGGTCTCTCCCAGCGAGGCTGTGTAGGCTCTCCTGGGGACGAGCCAGAAGACCTGAAGTCAGCAGTGCCCAGGAGGACACAAAGTGTTCAGCCAGGCCCACCGCCGCGCGCCGAGAGATCGCTGCTCGACAGCCGCCCCCCAGTCCTCCGACACTTCAGCTGTTCTCAGCAGCCAAAGCAGACACAGAACGGGCTTTTTAGGGCAGCAGAGCCACCAGCCAGCCCAGTTCCAGGGGGTAAGAGAGGAGGGCGCACTGGTGTTCCCTGTGTCACCTGACTAGTCAACACCCTCGGGTTTTTCCTTTCCACGAGGGAAATAAAAAGATCATCTATTTTCTGCATTCCCCATTCAAAGAGCCCTTCTTAGCCCCATCTTAAAGACAAAGTATTATGTTTCAGTTGACTGCTCTAACAAACACTTGGCTGCACAGTTTGTCACCACTTTCCTTCGGAATGATAAGAAAGAAAGAAAAAAGTGCACAGTTACTGTACTAGAAAGAAGCATTGAAGAAGCCCATGGAAAAAAAATCACACCAGATTTTCAGGTAGACTTTATCACTTATTCATCAAAACTACATCTGAGAATACAAAACTTACTCTGTCAAAAGCATTTCAAAATACAAGAAATCACACAAACCCTTTTTTAATCGCAAAGGTCTCCTCCTCAGTGTCCGAAAGAGCAATCACTTTGACAGGTCTCTGAGGTACCTTCAGACTGTAAAACCTAGAGGAAAGAAAGAGCAGCAACGTTCCTTCAGCTGGCAGCATCACACACATCCCTGCTGATGCAGGAGCATCAACCAATATCAGTCTAAAATCTGTCCCATCCTATTTTTTATTTGTAATCCTCCTAAGAATGGCAGGACACAACTATCTAGTGAAAAACGAGACTGGCTACGACAAAAAAAAAAACAACAGACAACGCAACTTATTCAACTTCAAAGAGGCTTTACCTTATAGTGTTGTCTGAAGTCAAGAGCACGATGTGGGGCTCTGACGTCTCACAGGGATACCAGGCAGCATGCTTCAAAGTCAGAGATGTTGAGCTTGTGAAGAACCTTTCCGCAATGGGAATAGTGCTGAAACACAAAGCAGAAATACACACTGTTACAGGGAAGGCAGAAGTTACTTGTAAAGGGAAGTGAGGGCAAGAGGAGCTAGAAACCAAACTAGAAAGTTTCAAAGCCCTTGGCTGTATTAAAATTAGAGAGACAGCTTTAACCTGAAGCCCTCTCTTACTTCCATCTGGACTTGTGCATTTAGCTATCGTGGCTAAAAGATCCCAGGAAGGCTAGCAAATACTAGAGGGGCATCTTTCTCCTCAGCAAGTTTAGAAGGTCATTTATTTGGTCACCTGACAATCAGCGACTCCCCAAGCCTAAAAAACTTCATTTGTGACTGTCCCTGCCACCCTGACACAACCAAGGTCTCCTGTATCTGCTTGGCCCCAAGAGAGGGGAGACTGCGGACGAACGGCAGCAGGACAAGGGCGTTGTTAACCGGCTGAGGTCTCACCTACAGTTCACCGTGGATTTCCCACCTTCAAACTCGGAATTCTTCCCCCAGCGTTTCGGCAGCTCCAGCACCATGAGCCCCTTCGTGCCGACGAGCGCCACATGATGCTGGACGGGGCTCAGCAGCGTCTGATAAACCTCAAAAAGGGGCGGGTTTATGCAGGTCAGGGTCTGGAAGCACAAACATTACAGTCAAGCACAAGCCAACAGAATCATGGCCCATCTCTGCTTGGGGGGGTGACTGAAAGAATGGCCACGAGGTGCAGAACAAGACAAAAACTTCTTTCCAGCCATGAAGCCCGTGGGTTTTCCTGAGGAAAAACCCACTGAGGGTGGGCTGGGGGGCGACCCCCACCCTGGGGCCTTCAG